TCAGTTAAGATAGGAAAATTCTGAGATTTTAATAAAAATTCTAAGAATTTCGATGTAGTTTCGTTTTACATTTTTCTGCAGTTCTTATACTTGAAACTAATTAAATGCCAGAGCAATGAAAAAGAATGTTTTATAAATTGATTTTTTTCAGTTTATGATATTTTCATGATCCACTTAGGAAATTTACATGTAAATGACGTTTAGGTAATTTTTTAAATATCTTTCTTAATTTTGAAGAAAATTCAATTACGTCTTAATGTCTTAGAACTTCACGAATTATGTAATTTTTAACTTTTCATTCATTTCAGCAAATATGGTTGAATCTTGAATTTTGTTATGTTTTTACGTTCCTGTCGAATTATTCTTCTTCAAGTATCTTCTTCAGTTATTATCCAATCATGAAATTTAAAGTTTAGGAAATTGTTATTTTCAATGTTTGTTGAATTAGGAACATTACTATTTGCAAATTACACAAATTTTAATGAAATTTGACGAAAGTTCTTTGCCAGGGGCTTAATATTTTAAACAGGTGTTTTAGTTACGAAAACAAGAGTTTTCAAACAAGAATTCTGAATCTTTTTTCACGAGTCAGTTAAGCAGTAAGCATTCATCCTGTAATAACTTAAACAGACAAGTGCTTAAGGAAGTTTCTAGGTAAGCTTGGCAACGTCAGCGTCAACATTAGTCGCCCTTGGGATTATGTTCGCAAGAAAAGAATCGCGTGAAGAGAGCAGAAAAAAGTTTCGACATTCGCGTTGACTTTTAAATATCACCCTGGGGAACTATGCGGTTTATTTCTTCTCTTCACGTAATACTATGCATTCTCAACTTTTACTACTTAATACATATAGCACTGTTTGAAATTTTCTGCTGTACGTGTTCAATTCTAATCGCAGAAAAAAACTTTACCTTAAAAAAATTATTAATTTCACTTTCAACGTCGCAAAATCTAAACTTCATATTTGTGGAAAATAATGATTTTCATGGAAAATATGAAACGTTACTCGCTGTAACAATGCCGTGATTTCCATGGAACGAATGATATTGCATTTTTCAGTAAATATGAACAGGAAATAAAACGTAATTTTAAGGAGAGACAGTGTACAGTGAAATGAAAGATATAAAAGCAGCCAACAGCAATTGCACTTGTATTCTCTTTAAAAGAAGTAATGTTCTGTTAAATCTATGATTTACATTTAAAGGATGTTTCAAACAGAAGTTGAATGTTCTCGAGCAAGACACCATAATTTAATATTAATGTTTTTTTTATAAACAAGTGAACTTTATCTCTTTAATAGAATTATGTATATTTATAGTGTGTTCATCAACGCAAATCTCTGTTTTCCAAATCAGATGAAACGCGATTCAAACGAGACATTCTTTAGATATGCAAATTATCCTGTGAAATTAAATACTATTTTAATTAATGCATTCTTATTCACAATTTTCTCATATTTCTTAGTCATTCAAAATAAACTAATTTTTAAAATTCTTCAATGGAAATGTCAATGTTAGATTACGATGGGAACGAACAAGTATTTATTGCTTCCTTTGAATTGTATTAAAATCAAACATGCATACGTACAGTTACAATACGAACGAAACAATATTCATGTGCTGCACCCTGTATTTATAATTAGACTGGTAACAGAATGAATATACGATGTTGGTGCCTATGGCAATGTTTGCAAGTAGAATTCCTAGTTCAGTTATCGCTAACGGGCTGAAAGGTTTGTCCGTTTCGTCGGCATTTCGACTTAAGGGTGGAAAAATCTGTCGCAAGTTAAACGTCTGGCTGGTGGATTTGCGAGATCAGCGGCGCAATGTAGTACGTGAGTGGCATTCACTACGTCAGACTAACATTCCAGCTTCACCCCATTAATTAATTTCATGAAAAACACGAAACACGTTAATTATTCATAATACAACACGCAGCTAGGTCACTGGATCTTTTTAGCGCAATTAAATACATAATTGTATTTCCTATATTCTCATTATTCTTCTGTATTATTACGTTTTCAATGGATCAAATTGTATACGAAGTATTATGTAACAAAAGAAAGCTTAATTCCTTTGTTCTATGAATGAATTTCTTTATCATTTTGTATTTAAATTTTCTCGAATTTACAGGTAGACGTCTTCGAGAAGTTGGCCTTGTTCGAGAAGAGGAAAACTGCTGGTTCTCGTCGACCGGAAGTATTGATTAACTGATAGAAGCTCGTACGTGTAAAGTGGTAAGTATAAAAAAAGATTTGTTTTATACGAGTGATTTATTAAGAACGACGAGTGCAATAATGCTTATTAATGTTGTCATGTTTGATTCATTTACATGCATCAGTTTGGTCGTGAGGATTCAGAATCAATAATTATACAATTATCAAGTCTGTTAAAGTTATCTGTTTTCTGTGCTAGCTCGTAATCTGTATTCCTTTTCACGTACAAATGCATGCACTTTAATATTTATTAAATTATAAATAATATTTTATTTTAATATTTACTGAACTATATACAATTTATATATTTGTGCAGTATCGGCACTTAATTTAGTATGTATAAAATTACAACATATTTAGGTAGAATATAACGAACGAATAAAAGAAGAAGGAATAAGGTGAGAAAGTGTAATGACACGGTGTAGACTCCTTGGTGAAGAGTCCTTGAGTACCGTTAACGAAGTAACTTTTGTTAAATACATGCTGATCATCAGGTTCCCTTATGTTTCTGGTTGAGCTGTTAATGTATAGGAAACCGTCAGGTTACGACATAATGAGATAAAATTAGGGGTAGAAACCGAACATCATTCACTCTGGTCATTTCCTTATCATTACGCCTTTCATCACTTTTATACTGGGTGTGTTGTTCGCTATTCTTCATAAAACCAGTATCAAAGAATGATGTATCTGTATCTATATTTAAATCTTTTAACATATACCGAGTGTCTCGACTAAGAACCAACACCTAAGTGTCTCCTTTATCTTCAATATCAGAAATGTCTCGAACACAATTTGAATGGTTTGAAAATAGAAAATTTTCTTTACGATCATCTTTCTTTTAATTTTTTTAAAAGTCACAAGATATATTTTTTGTCTGAAAGCATCTACTTTTTTTCTAAAATGAGAAAAAATTGAAACAACACCACAATCTGAGTCTTCATTTTAGACAATGCAGATGGACATCATTTTGAGCATTTAAAACACATGGTCGTAACTTAGATATGCTTGTTTTCCAGCGAAAAAACAGGTTACATTGAGAAAATTCGAAAAGAATCTTTTCTGCCACGGTATTCCTTCTTCGAAACCATTGAAATTGTGCTTTAAACATTTTTTCAATATCATTCGAAAGAGAGGAGATATTTAGGTGTCCGGTCTCAAGTAAGACACCCTGTATACCATCTGCAATATCATCGACATTCGTGGTATTGACGTAATTACAGAATATTTCTTCGTCTTCATCAAATGAATGCCGTTCAAATAATCGAACGTTCAATTAAAGAGGGTTTTCTATCATACTTACCATAAAGGTTCGAGTGTGTTGTTAGCCCATAATTAGAGTTCGTAATTTGTACACACGTCGCGAAATTGTACATACATCTTCAGCGTGTGTAATCAGTTGTTTGACTGGGGGATAGGACTCCACAGTGGGACGCGCCACACGTTCGTTCAACTCGGCAGATCGTTTCAGTGAGATTTAAATACCGGCTGCTCGCTAATCACCTCGCTAATCCTTAATTACTGGCCCTAGCGCGATTGTTATTCGCATCATGGCTCGTGGAACACGCACCTTCCGTTTTTGGGAAGGTGAAACCTTCCCATAAATAACAGTACCCCAGGACAATGGCGTCGCATAAACTCGCTACCTATATATCACCCCCCTTTGCCCTTAAATTATCGCTGGAATAATAGGGCAAGCAGAGGCTAGATCCCAAAATCGTTTTCCTTCACGACCACTTTGCCGTGTTCTTCGTCAAATTGCGCAGCCAAACGTTAAACACAGACCATTGGGATTAAATAGCTATACTACATTCTGTTATTTAGGTTTCGAGTTCCTAGTAAAGATCGAGGTTTCGTAATTACACGAAATTTTATAGACGATCGATGAAGTATATACGCGATTATTACTCTGGTGCAAAAAAGAA